TATTATTTTTTTATCTTCAATTTTAATATTTTTTAAAATTATTTTTATACTAATAATAATAATAATAATAATAATAATAATAAAATTACAAATAAAATTTAAAAAAAATTTCAAGAAAATGCGAAAAATATTTGTTTTACAATTTGAGATAAAAAGGTACATGTAATTTTGATATGCTTTTAATTACTAATTATTTAATTATTATTTTTTTCAGAATGTTTGCAATTAATTTTGAGAATTTTTTAGAAAATAAAGATAAAATACAAAATATTCTATCTTAATTTAATTTTGCTATCAAATTTTTTTTCTTTATAAGTTATTTTAAATTTTATTTGCAATTATATAATTATAATGTTAAAAATAATTACGTGTGTACACATAATGTATACATGCATGTACCTGATAAGCCGCATATGATTTGTTATGTTGTGACTCAGATTATAGATAAAATTCTGGCATGAAATTAAATTAGTTATACGGCCTTTAAAGTTTTCTAGTTGACCACTCAAGTGAAGAATAGTGAGTCCGAGAAAAGCATCTACCGAAGTGTAAGTTACGGCGGCCAAGAAAATTGTAATAGCTTGAATGATGTATGTTAATTCAAATTGTGGGCTCTTATCTATATCGTAAAAATAATAAGTCTGCAGCGGCAGCGGCTTGTCCGGGTCCGTAAGATTTGTCAAATGCCTCAACGGTAAACCAAAATAAGGAAGAATAATAACCACAATGAACGCTAATACCATTAGAATGTATCCGCTGATGATAATCGTTCTAGCAATCTGTGCTCGACTCATCATTACATCCCTTTCCTTTCTTGTCTTCAATTCCATCCAGTCTTCCGCCATCATTTTTATGATGGATACAAGTGCTTTGAAAAATAGCAAAATAATCACTTGTAGAACCATCACGACTTTTATTTTCAAGCTAAAGCACAAATACCTTTAAATATATTTAATTTTCATATCTTTTGTATATATATGATAAACTTTTTTGATATTTTTGTGCCACATAGATAATTTCTGTACCTGTTTGTTTCCATCGTAGAACAACAAGTTTCAATGAGACTACCAGTAAAGGTAAAGTAATTTGGAGATTATCTATCATAAGTATCATGTCTCCCCAAACTCGTATAAGAGAGCAGGCAAGTGGTATACCAGAAACAAATGTCACTATAACGAAAATAATAATCACACGAAGATCAGAAGAGAAGTTATTCTTAGATATTTTATCACTCTTCGGCCATAATCCAAGCAGTTCTAAACCCAAGCGATTTAATTTAATCGCCCATGTAAAATCTAGCAAGATATTAAAATTATATAAGTACATTAAAAGTTTATCAAAATTTATGATACCTTGAAAAAAATCCAAAATACAAAATCCTAAATTAATATATTAATAAGATACTTGTCCCTATATTCTGTAACTCATTAGGCAATCATTATTAACTCATAACGACTGCATAACGAGTTATAGAATACAAGGACTGAATGCTATTTGAAAATGTTCAAAAACTCTCACCTTTCTTCTAAACAAAAAATACATAAACATTTAATACCTTTATACTGGGAATGTTCGGCAATGTCCATGCCGAAGACTAATGCGAAAACGCACACCCCACTTGTCATACTAGTGCAAACTATGATCATCACGCATGTCCACTATGCGAGTGGATAACAACTTGGTTGCTTCTTCGAAGAATGCATTAAATATTACAAATGCTACTTTCAATTGATAACAGCTATTTTGTATTGTTTCCGAAACTTCATAAATACAAAAAAAGTCACGTTTACGCTAATAAGAAGGAAGGTATATTGTGCTGTGTGTGTGTGTGTTAGTGTACGATATCTATTATCGCTAACTCGTCAAACTATACTCTAAAAGTTTTTTTATACTTTATAATATGACGATCGTGTTCACTTTGTACCTAGAGACATGTGGTGTTGCGTTTGAATATTTTTGCAGAAAGGCCATAGATATTCAGAAAAACTTCAGACAAAAAGTGCAATGGAAAAAATTCAGTGTTCTATAAGTTATACTGTGAATAATGTTGAATAACTATTGAAAAAACATATTTTTTTAATAACATATAAGATAAATAAATGTACATTACCATATGTAAAGAATTATAATAGGTATTATTGAATTGATGATAACACAGAAAAATCTTTGTATGATTTATCCTTTAATAAAATCATAATAATTACTAATAAATATATATCTTTTTTTCTAGTAAATTTGCATATTGTATTTTATTATAGATGTGCCGATTTTACGATTTTATTTATTATAATAATTATAAAATATGTTTATTTAATTATTGATTTGTTTATTACTATAAGTCATAAGTTTAACGGCATATTCTACGTTTTATTTAATACTAAAAATGTTACAGTCAATATTCACATTATTTGGAGATACGGTAATGTCTCGGCGCTAAGACATAGCGCGAGACACAATTTACAATAAATAACAAATTTATTTTCAAAAGGATACTAACGTAATTATTTATTAATATTTGTAATTATTTAATTTAATATTATATTATACTAATATTTTTTCATCTTATTTTTCGAATAAGTATCTAATATAGTGCGCGAAATATATAATATATTTCTCATAATTCAATTTCGCGCATTGCTAGTAAAAATGATATGTAGCCAGCCGATGTTTTTAATAGCTGAAAAATATTTCTTTTTTTAAAAATACTATAAAGTAAGAGGACATTAAAATAAAATTTTTAATTTTTTTAGAATGCATCAAATACGTCAAGTACATATGTCAAAATAAATTAAAATTTTCCTTTCCAAAAAAGAATTAATTTATAATAGTATTAAAGAGATCCTCTAAAGTAATCTGTTTTATCGATTAAATGCAATAATTTTTATAGAAAATCTTCATATGTATCATTTTTTTATCTGAAAATCTTTTTCAAGAATTAAAATATTTTTTACAATGCAGCATGTTTGTATCTCACTTAACTACAAAGAAATTAGTGTAGTGAGTTACAGAAAAAATGCAATTTTTTTTTGGATAAGTTTCAGAATGTACTGCCCACTGCAAAAATTTCTCACTTATGGATCTAACCATTTACGTTCAACCGCTCTATGAGTAAGGTTGAGTTCCGAAACCCGAAAAAAATAGTATTGCAAACTTTCTGACCCACTGTACAGAATCATTCTTGATATAAAAATGTACAGAAAGAAAAATTCTATCTATCGCATTAATACATTTTGATTATAATAAATATAATCGTTTAAAAAGTCTAAATCGCGAAATTGTGAGAAAAACTGTACCATAACGAGTCCCAGTCTTCTCTACACGAAAAAATAACGTCAAATTCTTATAGAATTAAATTTATTGTTAGACGCACCTAATTTGATATAAAAATCTTTTACGAAAATTTATGCATATGAGTGATGTTGATGTATAGTATTAGGTTGTTCGGAAAGTAATTTCGTTTTTTCCCAACAGAGGACTTATTGTATTTTTTCACAGTCAACTTCACATTTAAGCCGCATAATCATTATATATTTTGACAGCTGATATAGCAAGGCTTGCTTGCTTGTGAAAAAAGTTCGATTGATTCTACGCAGTAGTTTTTAGTTGGTGCCCTATCAAATATGGAAAGTGAAAAGCAGCATTTTCGACATATTTTACTTTTTTACTATCGAAAAGGTAAAAATGCTGTTCAAGCAAGAAAAAAATTATCCGATGTGTATGGAGAAGATGTATTGACAGAACGCCAGTGCCAAAACTGGTTTGCAAAATTTCGATCCGGCAATTTTGATGTTGAAGATGCACCACGTTTTGGAAGGCCAGTTGAAGCTGATGAAGACACAATAAAGGCATTAATTGATGCAAACCGGTGAATAACATCTCGTGAGATCGCTGAGAGATTAAATTTATCGAATTCGACCGTTCATGATCATTTGAAACGCGTCTGATTGAAAATCGTCTTTCATTTTCATAAGAAAAAACGAAATTACTTTCCGAACAACCTAATAGTATGTATTGATGTCACGTAAATTATATGTGTGTAAGTCATTGAATTGATAAAATAGTGATTCCATCAGAGTTCGATCTTCAGATTAGGGGATCTCTTTAATTAATAATGTCTCAATTTTGTGCGTACAAAGAGATATAAGATTTTTAATTATTAATAATCTTACGCTGCAAAATGTGGTCATTGTTAATGGAAATATCTTTTCCGCGGTAATACGAAAAGGTTCATTAGCACGTATCATTAATAAAATAAGATATTTCTTCTTCCTCGGTTCCAATTTATACCACTCAAGATTGCAAATTGCATTGTATACTGCTTCGCACTTGGCACATATAAAAACACATACAAATATATTTCAGTATTCTTTATATTAGGTTAAGTAAAAAGTCATCGCGTTTTTTTAAAAGACATCTATCAGTAAAAATCAGTAAAAAATTACTTTCTTACCAACAATATAAGTATATCTTGATAGAGTAAAGTTTCAGCTTTAAAAATCTCTTTTTTAAATTATACGATACGACAATTTTTAATGGAGTTATGAGCAATTAAAGTCAAAATAATTCTTTTATTTAATCCGCGATAACTCAGTAATCAAAAGTCGTAGGAATATTTAAAAAAAACGATTTTGTAGGGAAAGTATCAAGCTTTCACGATAGGTAATCGAAAATTTTCTCAAATTCGTTTTGGACACGTTACAAATCCACAAAGTGAGAAGAAAATTTTTCGTCTTTTTCAGCTCGTAGTTTTTGGTATGTAAAAATTATCAAACTCATATAAACTTAAAAAATGTGATAAGCTTTTAAAAGTAGAGATTTCAAGCTTTAAAACCTTTTTTTTAAATTTGAATTTTATTCATTATTGACGAAGATATTGTATATACAACTTTGAGCTAAAAAATACGCGATGACTTTTTACTTAACCTAATATTATATTTGATGAAACTAAATATTTAGTATACATTTCATAAACATAAATTAACATTAATTATAGTTTTTAATTAATTTTCTGTTTAAAGACAAAAATAAAAACAAAAAAGAAAAAGTATAATCTAATTTTACTTAAAATTTATAACAATAGCACTTATGAGATGCAAGGAATTAGATAAGTGGAAGTCATTTAATCCATGTTACAATTGACCACAAGCTACTCATAGTGTTCAGTGGAAAAGTCTAGGTATCTATCATTAAGTAGCTGTGGTCAGTCACAACATGATCAAATGAGACGCTCCCGAATTAGCAGATCAACATATAATATAGTATATGAATATGCACAACATTCTTAAATGTTTATGAAATTATTAAGTTTGTTATATAATGCATATATACTCTCTAATATATTCACATAAATTAAAAAAACACTATATTTGATAGTTCTTCGTGCTTAATAATATTTCTTGTAAATTTATAGAATTTTCAGTTCAAAATGTGCGCCGATTATTTATTGCTCTTGAAACATAGCCCTAAATTAAAGCTGAAATAGTAATATCACAAATTAAATTGACAAGCATTTAATATTATTGCTGCAAATAAGCATCTTAAATAAGCTAGACAGCTGTTAATAATTTGATGCTACAGACATCTTAAAAAATTGTAAGTAATTTATTGCAAAAAATATTATTTCAACCAAAATTCAAACCCGGATGTCTCATTCCTTGTAGGCTCTTCTCAATTCGACCATCGAGTATGTAATAATATTACTCTCTAAATTCTTTGGACTGGAATTTCATTCTAAAGAGTGAGATTTGCTCTAAAAGTTTTAGAGAGTATGTATACATATACATAAATATAAATTATATAATAAATATAAATATTTGTTACAATGTAAAATAAGTTAAAAACTGCTAATTTATAGTTTATTTGTTTTAGTAGATAGAAATATTGTGCAACTTACTTGCTCTGCTATAATTTCCCCTGCACCACAATAGAGAAATGTATGCGCCAATAATGTAAAGATTCCAATCACTAAAAAGTATATTCTTGTAAGAGACATGTGACCTATCTCGTTCCCGGTAATCACCTGGATAATATATCTTGCTAATTAATAAAAATTTATTTTTAATTAATTACATAATTAATTTGTATTTTTATACATTCTTCTCATTTGCACTTACAGTAACAAATAGAAATCCGAATAGACAAAATACAATACCAAAATAAAATACTAGTCCCAACATCAATAAGGCGAATGTATCTTCAATATTATTGGCAAATCTATAAATGTAAACACGTTTAGATAGATTATGTTAAATCAAAGATATAGAGTATGGATTACGCCGTGTGTATTTGGTAAACAAAAATGAGAAAGATAGGATGTGAAGATGGCCAGTCCCTGGCATTTTAGGCATTAGTTTTGGAAGTAAGAGAAATTTTACCTTAAAATATTTAAACATTCTTACTACGAGTATATTATAAAAATTATTCAAAATAGTTTTATACTAATAATTTGGCATCATAGATATTTTAACCTCACACATCATATATTATTACCAACTAAATAAAAGAGATTGGAAAACCTTTAATAATTCTAAAACTAAGTATTTTTTTAATGTTTGAAAATGTTTATTACTTGTTTCATTAATTGTCATAATTTAGTAATTTATTTGATATTGTTAAATAATAAAAATCTCAAAAATTAAGCGTTTCTGGAACCATGTTTATACGAGCTTATTTTAATAACTTATTTTGATCGATAGGAATACATCCTTAAAACATTTAATACTTATTCATTTACATCTTGCATGTGTGTGTTTAATAATTACATAGATTAATGCCTCAATAAATAAGTTATTTGTCGTCATTTTGACATTAAAAACGATATTTTGACGTCCAAATGGCGACATATAACGTCAGTTTGTTTGCTGGAAGATATATATATATATATATTCCATTTTATATTATAATACTATTATAGTTATAGATACAATACTGACATTTTCACATTTTTGTCGTACGTTTTATGTTATCTTTTATTCAATTTTTATCTACAGATTATTTGTGTTGGTTCTGATTATACATATATAAAATATGTATTATATCACATATATTATACATATACATATTATATATATATTATTTATATTCAACCGTTAAAAATTAATCAAATTATGCAAAGATAAAGAACCCCGCACTAATCTTATGTAAAATGAATCCCAGTCAAATTGACTGAAATTTTATTATAATATAGATCATGATATCTTCATCAAAAATCCTCATGGGCATAAGATCTAAAAATGGATAGTTTTCGAGATATTGGAAATCAAATGTTTTTAGCTATATTTCCAATATTTGACATCTAACTTATCTCGAAAACTGTCCATTTTTGAACCTTGTGCCCATGAGGATTTTTGATGAAGACATCATGATCTACATTATAGTAAAATTTCAGCCAATTTGACTGGGATCTATTTTACATAAGATTAATGTAGGATCTTTTACAAAAACTTTATTATATCTAATTTTAAAATTTATTAATGTTATAAACCATAGAGAAACCTTATTATCCGCAGATGAGTTTGTACGTTGTTACGCAAAGCGCTATCAAAATCCTTGCACGATGTCAAATCGGTCAATCGATGTTTGAAGTTTTCCAATTGGCCACAGATGTGAAGGATCAAGAGTCCAAGAAAAGCATCTACCGAGGTATAAGTCATTCCACCTAGAAACATCGTCGCAGCTTGAATCACAAGCGCGATTTCAAATTGTGGACTCTTATCTGTATCGTAAAAATAATATGCCTGAAAGGGTAATAATCTTTCCTGATCCGTAAGATTTGTTATATATCTGAAGTGTAGTCCGAAAGCAGGAAGAATAATTAGCACAATGAATACGAATATCATCAAAAAAAATCCACAAATTACAATCAATCGCGCAGTTTGTGCTCGTTTAATCATTACGTTTCTTTCTGCGTCTATCTTTAATTCCATCCAATCTTCTGCCATCATCTTTACGAGCAGTACAATAGCTTAAAAAACATAAACTCATATATAAAACATTTACGGTTATGAAGCTAAAGTATATTATAATAGTTTTAGACATAGCTATACCTGTACGTTTCCATCGTATGACGATAAGTTTTAGTGAAACTACTATTAAAGGGAAAATAACTTGGAGGTTGTCTACTATAAGTATCATGTCACCCCAAACTCGCACAAGGGAACATAAGAGAGGAATAATGGATAAGAAAGTTACTATAAAGAAAATTATGCCCATACGAAGATCCGAAACGAAGGTATTCTTAACTGCTCCGTTGATTTTGGGCCATAAACCGATTAGTTCCAAACCGAGTCGATTTAGTTCGATTGCCCACATAAAATCTAGCGATATTTCAATGTTAATAAATAGAAATATTTGTTAAAATTATAATGTCAAATTAATTAAAATTTATTGAATTTGTTTTATGTTGTTATAAATATAACAAATATTTAAAATTTAAAAAAATTTAATAATAATTTAAGAATTTATAAAACTGATATATAATAATTTATGAGTTTTAGTATGTATGTATCTGGAATTAGCTATATTTATAAATGTTAAATTAATCAGTAATTAAAGTTTTAAATTCTGAATATATTATTTAAAATAAAAAAAATTCATATGTAAGTTAAATAAAAAAAGGTTTCATAAGATAAAAAATCTTTCGGAGTGTAATATATTTACATTTACAAAACTGATACTAATGTTTAGCACAATTTTTGGTTTTATTAATAATATATTTCAATAATTCAAAAGTTTTTATAAAAGTTATTTTTATTACGATTCAAAATATATGATAGATGTATTTGATACCTTTGTAACCTGAATGTTTGGTAACGTTCATATTGAAGATTACTGCAGAGAATTCGGTTCTTGTATCTCCAAAGTGGTCATCACGCATGCTCATGATGTAAGTATAACAGATGGTTACTTCGTCAAGAGATACATTAAATATTACAAATACTATTTCCAGTTGATAGCACTTTTTTTTTTAGTTCGTAAAAGAACTTTACGGTCATAAGAACTGATCATAAAAAATGCCAATAACTGTGAAGTGATAAAAAGAGAGACATATTTTGCCATAACAGGATCGTTGAGACATATTATGCCTGTTATACAAGTTTCCCCTAACTTCATAATGTTTTACGCGCGCATAGCACTTTGTAGCCACGTGTCATTGAATTTTTAATAGACTCATGTAGAGGAAAGAGAATATAAAAAACTTCGAACTAAAAAGGAAAAAAACAAAAAAACGTTTTCACTAATAAAAAGAGAGAAATAATGTGTTGTACAATAAATACTACCACCAACACGTCAAATAATATGCTAAAAGTTTCTCCATACTTTGTAATACTCGATCGCGTGTTGTATAATAATCGTGTTCACTTCGTAACTAGAGGTATTTATATATATATGTAGTTGCGAGTAATGAGTAGTTGCGTTTTAATGGCTTTTGCAGAGAGAGAGAAAGGCTGTAAAAATTCAGAAAAATTTCAAACAAAAAGTGTAATGCGAAGAAAAAAATTAGCGTGCCATAACCTACAGGAATACTGTGAATATTTATTGAAAATACATATTTCTTGATAAGTGAATGTGTAATAATATCTAGGCTGCATTCGGAAACATCACCCGAGTGTTACCGTGTATTGCTTTATCCTTGTTCATTCAATGTTAAACAAGGATAAAATGATACACAGGAGCACAGGGAGTGATATTTCCAAACGTAATTTTAAACAATTATAACGTTATCGTTGCAATACTTTCTTCTCTTCTCGTCTTTGTATAAAAATTAGCATTTAATAAAATTATACCTCTGATACTCACTCATTTCTCTCTCTCTCTCTCTCTCTCTCTCTCTCTCTCTCCCCCTCTCTTTCTCTCTCTAAAAAAAGCATAATAGTTACTTACAAATTATACAATAAATAATTATATAATAAATATAACATATTTTTTTTTCAAAATAAATTTGTATATTGCGGTATATCACAAACAATTTTAATAATAAATATGTGTGACCTCAAGGCAAAAAGAGTCCAAGAATAAAATAACGTGTTATAACAATAAAAATAGAAAAGCAAATGTTAAAATATAATTAACTGTTAATATAATTTATAATCGCAATCGCATTACATGTTTTGACTGCAAGTTCGAGCTCTCTTCAGATATACAGAACAACAATAGAAATATACTATAAGAAATATACAATGTGTAAAACAAAGTGCAACCGCAAAAAGTCATACATAATATATTGGTGTGAAATGTATGATGAGTGAAATACTTGAATCAGAGGAAACAAAAATTGCTCGCCAGTTGGTAGAAAGACCAATTGAAAAAATTTTTTTCGTTGTACTATTGGAAAGAGAAGAGGAAAAGAAAAATTCAATAAAGGATAAAAATTTTTTACTCTTTCCCTCTCCCCTTCTCCAGCTCTTATTTAGCTCATAAACGATTTTATAATTATATTTTTTTATTTTAATAAATATATGTTAAGATTAAAATATTAATATTAAACATTACAGTCAACATTCACAATATATAATTTATTAGTAATATCCAGTATTTTCAGCATGCAGCTAGCAGTATCGCAGTTAATATACACAAGTACACAAATTCAGTCCTCCAGCACTCTAGCAGAGAAAAATGCATCGTGTATCTACGGCTTCATATGTGAGAATCCAATAAAATTTTGTTATGTAAGACGTGTTTCCAATAGAATATATTTAACTTATTATTTTTATTGTTTTCGGTTTTAGTTTTATAAAATTATAAGAAAAAGATATAATTAATTTAAACAAACACAAGATCTATATATGAATAAATATTAATTATTACATAAAAATTTTTAATATTATATAATTAAGAGTATAAACATAATAAATATTGAAATAAATAATGTTTAAACATTTTAAACAATAAGAATTTTACTGGACTGTACACACATTTGAAAATAAACATTTTAAATATTTTACTTCTAAATATAAGTTGTATCATAATTATCTAATTAAAAATATTTTGCATTTACACTTTTATCACAATCTAAAACAAATTATATACTAATAATTTTCATGCTTTAACCTCGGTTTGCCAGCAAAAACGATATGTAGCTAGCCGATGTTTTTAATAGCTGAAAAAGCAGGCTTCCATTTAGAAAATTCGTTAATAAGATTTCATAAGCAAAACATATATTCATTTTCTATATTTATTTAAAACTATTAATTACTTATGTAATAAAAATATCTTACGCTACAAAATGTAGTCATTGTTAATGGAATAATCTTTCCTGCAGTGAAACGAAAAGGTTCACTGGCTCGTGTCATCAATAAAATAAGACATCTCGCTTTTTTTGATTCTAGTTTGTACCATTCGAGATCATTCAAAGTACGGTATATTGCTTCGCACTTAACACGTACATAAAAAATATATAATAAGATATAAATGTCTGTTATTTTATACCAGATTGTTCTCATAAATATTAATTAATTTTAATTCTTGTTTATAAAAGATATAAAATATTCTTTATTGTAAAAAAGATAAGTAAGTTTTCTTTTATAAGAAGATAAGAAAAATCAATTAAATTTTTATCAATATTTATTAAAATGACATTATATGATTTTATAAATTAATATATGTCATAAAATGAATAATAAAAAAATTATAACATGTTTAAAATTATATAAAATTATACAAAAATAGTTGCTACTTAATTTTAAGAGAAACTTTTTAAATTAAGTATAATATAGATTAATGATCGGCCATAACACAAATTAAATTAATAATTTATATATTTATAGATGTAAATATGTATCTTACTTGCTCAGTTATGAGTTCTCCGGCCCCACAGTAGAGAAAAGTATGTGTTAAGAGACTAGTAATGCCAACTATTGCATATATTATTTGTGAAAAAGGAATACCACCAGTTTCATTGTCAGTAACAACCTATAAAATATACATTTTACTCCATAAAAACAAATTAACATAAGTTAAATAAATAATAAGATTAACAATATGATCACAATCATAAATAAGATATATGACGTAGATATATAATATACATTATAAAGATATGTAAGACATATATCTAAATATCTTAATATCTAAAAATAATACGTCTTTTTGAACTTACAGTAAGCAATAGAAATCCGTACAGACAAAATACAATACCAAAATAAAATACTAATCCCAACATCATTAATGTAAATGTATCTTCGATCTTATCAGCAAATCTGCATTGTAAATATATGCAAATAGTCTCAATATATACATATATAATTATTAAAAAATAAACATTTAAAAATTATAAAAATAAAAAACTGATATATATAAAAAATAATAATTAATAGAAAATTTTATGTAATTATATAATATTACATCCTGCGGTTTTGTCCCTGCGTTGGTCAGCTGATTGACTTTGATCGATATTATGCCCACTTGTGATCAATCGATACAACTGTTTGCATGCATTATCGTTCTAACGAGCTTATATGTATTCTAACTGTTGTTTAATTACGTAGTGTTTTCTGTGTACTGAGTGCTTGTGTTTTATTAAGTTTTTTTAACTACAAGTCCGTGTCTTTACTTCTGCGAGTGCGGGAGTGCTGTGTTTGCATCGCTGGCGTAACAATGTAAATATGCTAAAAATGCGTGATATATGAAGACATTTGTATCATTATTATTATGTGCAAGAATGTACTACTGTTTCAAGATAAAATAAATGTGCAAAACTTAATTTTTTCGCAAGTTTTACAAAATTTTATTTTATGCATCATTCTATAGTTATAATTAAAACCTGCAAAAAACCTGATGAGTCGTAGATGAGCGATCACATTACTTCGTAAAGCATTATTAAAATCTTTACATGAGACCAAATTGACCAATTGACTTGTGTAGTTCTCTAACTGGCCGCAGATGTGAAGAATTGTAAGTCCAAGGAAAGCATCTACCGATGTATATATTATAGCTGCTAAGAAAATTGTTATGGCTTGAATGGCAAGCGTGAGTTCAAATTGCGGACTCTTATCTGTGTCGTAGAAATAATATGTCTGTAGCGGTAACGGTTTATCCCGATCTGTGAGATTTGTTAAGCGTCTGAATGGTACGCCAAAACATGGAAAAATGATAATCACAGTGAATGCTAGTATCATCAATATGTATCCGCAAATTACGATCAGTCGAGCAGTCCGCGCTCGCTTCATCATCACGTTCCTCTTTGTGTCAAGCTTCAATGTCATCCAATCTTCCGCCATCATTTTTATGATGAGTAAGAGAGCTTAGAAATATAAGATTGTTATCTGTATATATTATTGCAATAATATTAAATTGCTAATTTATGAAATGAGAACAAAATTATATTATTATTAAGCATTTATTGTACTATTAGTGGAAAAAAACAAATAAATCACATATAAATTCTGACTTCTGTTTGATAGCTTGCACTATACAGATATAAAAGATTAGATGCAAAACAACTAGAAAGAAACTTAAAACTAAATGGTTTAAATTTTAGACAAACCTGAACGTTTCCATCGCATAATAACAAGTTTTAATGAAACTATCATTAGAGGTAATGTAATTTGTAAGTTGTCTGTTACAAGTAGCATATTGCGACGAACTCGTACAAGAGAACATACGAGTGGAATACCAGAAATAAATGTTATTAGAATGAAAATAATAACAATGCGAAGATCGGATGTGTAGTATTTATCTTTAACTACTTCATTTGTTTTAGGCCATAAACCGATCAGTTCCAATCCGAATCGATTTAATTCAATTGCCCACATAAAATCTAATAGAAATTCAATATAAAAAAGTTAAAATATTTAATAAAATGTGAATTAATATGTATAAAATAAGCTACTTAAATACCTAAAAATTAATGAATCTAAAAATTAATGAATAGGCCTTCTCTGAAAAAATTGATTAAAGAATGTCAAAACAGATAAGTCAAAATCCTAAATAAATAACATTGGAGGAGTCCATTATACATATGTGTAAAGACAGTACAATAATAGAGAATTGAAAACGGTATAATACAAACAATACAAATTAATTTTATTATATAATAATTTTTGTTTTAATTTAGTAAAACAAAAATTAAATTCTTACAAAAATAAATTTTAGGAGTAAAAAACGTGATAAAAATCTAACCTCTGTAACCTCTACGTTCGGAGATATCCATGAAGATAATATAAGAAACTCCGCTTCGTTTTCCGCAAAGGCTATTACGGAAAACTGCGCTTCAAGTTTTCCGTTCTTAAACGAAAAGATTATTACGCATGCTCGCAACAACCTAGTTGCCTCATCGAAGTAACATTAAATATTAAGAATGCTATCCCCAATTGATCACAGTTACTCGTCTCATAAAAAAACTTGACAAACATTCGAATAAAAAAGTGTTCGTCATAAAAAGCGTTTATGTCTGGTTTATTACGACGAGAGATGGAAAATATTCTGTCATAATTCTTTTTGTCAAGCTTGTCTTGAAAGTTTTTAGAAAACTTTAATACGTACATTACTTCTCATTTATTTCTAAATGAGAAATAATGTGCTTTTAATGGGATTATATGTAGTAGATACACAGCACAATTACAGTTCAAACCAAATCGTTGTTATATTATCGTTGTTGTACATTTCAAATGTTTATTGTAAAAATATATTTTATTATTGCAAACTAACTAAATGTAGTGTTGTAAAATATAAATACGGAACAAATACAACATAATATGAACTATAGAAATAATTCTCTTGATAAGTTATAGAAGGCTTGGTAGTTATAGAAAGCTAATGCTTACTTAAGAAATTTTACGTTACAATTATATTTTACATTTTACTTTATTGACAATAACGAAATGGACAAATGTTGTTTGTTGAATTCACCGTATAATTATCCACAAATATCGAGTAGATCCATATTGGATATTAGACCATATAAAGTCTACTTACTTTATTATTTTATTAGGAAACAATTAATACAATGCCAATAATAATTTTTATTACATTTAGTCACGTACGCAAAATATACAAATATTAAAAAATGATTCAAGCTAGAAGCATTTTTTCTAAATAAAAAGAATATAATTCGCGATAAATGATAAACATTAAGGTAAACAACACCATACTTTATTTCTACTAACCATAGCTAAATATAATTATTATAGCTTCTATATTCCGAAATATTTTATTGAAAATACAATATTTTTTCTATATAGAATAAAAATATATTAACACTATTTTCAACTCCCTTTTGCCAGTAAAAACGATATATAGCCAGCTGACGTTTTTAAAAGCTGAAATAATGCTTATTATTATTTGAGTGTACTATAAAAAAAAAAGAAAAATATTTACCCAAAAATAATCTTAATTGTATTTTTCTACTATGTAATTATAACTTTTTTTTACATTTACGTTTTAATTAGCATTCTTAATCGAAAATATTAAATATAAAATCAAATTAGATTATATTCAGTATGGAAAAGCATAACTAAACTAAAAATTATTATCTATACAATCTTACACTACAAAATGTAGTCATTGTTAACGGAACAATTTTTCCTGCAGTGATATGGAACGGTTCATTGGCTCGTATTATTAATAAAATAAGACTTCTTGCTTTTCTTGATTCCAATTTATACCATTCAAGATCACACACAGCACGATATAAAGCTGCACACTTAACAATAAAAAATATGTATATGTAACATATACTTACATATAAGTTTATTATTACAATACAAGTTATCACAAACAATAATAAATGCAATAATATAAATTAAATTTTATTTTAATTAATTTTTTATCTTTATTGATATTTAAAAAAAAATTAAAAAAACTTAAATCATTAAAATATTAATCATTAAATTATTAAAATAAATAAACTTTACTTTATCAAAATGTAATTAATACTTATAAGAATATTATCTTGTAAAAATATATACAAAAATACATATAATATAACAATAAATCTTCAATAGTTTCTTAGCAATATGACAACACATTTAAAGAGATATGTGCAAACGCAATTATAATACAATATACAAAAATTATATATTATAATTATTGAACACACACCCAGAAAAAGGTTTTGTTGATTCAAAGAAAAATTTCTTTGCTTATAGTTAAAGAAGAAATTTCTTTAATTTAAATGTCATGTCTTTTAAACATTTTTTTTAATTAAATAAAAAAATTTATTTAATTTAAAAAAATAATGTTTAAGTCAAAGAAATGACGTTTAAATCAAATAAATATTTTCTTTAATCGTATAGCAAAAAAATATTTTTTTGAATCAAAGAAACCTTTCTCTGGGTGCATAATAAAGTATAAAAAACTTTAATGCGTAACACAATTGCTATACATATATTACAACGTTACATTTATATTATGTTTTTATGTAATATAATGTATTCTTACATGTGTACGTATTCTTATAAGGCTATCCAGAAAGTAAATTCCGTTTTTAAATTTTACTGCCGCAGCAGTGCGGTCGCGATGATGCGCATGCGTGAGTTTGTTGATTCGCTGGCAAGGGATTGACATTTTCAATTATTGGGTTGTATTTAGTACACGCATTGTAATTGATAGTTTGCATCCGTTTCTTAAATGCGAAGAACATTAGTACGGCTGAATTTTATCTTCAAAGAAGCTGTGGTTTGCCTCACAGGCGACAACTTTCTATGATAAAGGAATACAATGTTTGACGGCAACTATGTAAGGTGTGTATTAGTGTAAGGTATGCACTTTTAAAAGTGATAAAAATTTTCTATAAATATGATTAATAAGTCATCGGAACTTACTTTTTGGATAACTCTCATATATACATTTTTTTATTTATGTATCAGTATAAACGTATAACTTACTTGCCCTATTATAAGCTCTCCGGCACCACAATACAGAAACGTATGCGTCAATAAGATGAGAGCAGCAATTGCCATATAACATGCTTGTGCAACATTCACATTATTTACATTTTGATCAGTAACTACCTGGATAATATATCTCGCTAATTAATAAAAAAAAATTGTCATACGTTAGATATATAATAACGTTAGACACATAGACTCATGTAAGTTATATTGCATAAATTAAAATGTGTAAGAATTAAAACGTTTTCAATATATTTGTTTCATCAAAACTTACACTAACAAGTAAAAATCCGCATAGGCAAAATACGATACCAAAATAAATTACCAATCCAAGCATCATTAACGAAAATGTTTTTTCAATGTTATCAGCAAATCTAGAAGTACAAAATAGAAAATTTAATGGAAATGTTAGTTTAAAGCTAATAAAAGTCTGAACTTAAACATAGTTATACATTTAAAGATCAAACATAAATAATTTTGTGCGATTCAATATTGTTTATTAAATTTATATTTAACCATTTGCTAATTAAGAAATGATATTAACAATTTCTAAAAGTTACGATGCTATCTGCAGATGTTACATAATTTAAGTTTATTTATTCCGATTATATTTTAACCTCTCTTCTTTCTTTAATGTACAATACTCGTGTATCTATATATCGTTGTATTTTTATTTGCCATTAAACAAAAGCATTATTATAATTTATATTATCCATCAGCTGCCCCAAAATCTTCATCATTTTCTTTTTTTTACCTCAAACGTGATTCGAGTTTCTTTGAGCACAAATTTAACTTTAGAAAAAAGAAAGAAATTACAAGTTTATGGAAAATGTTTTAGAGTAATCTATTTGATATTTTTCGGTCGAAGGTATATAACTCTTCTGCATCTATATGTGGTTATATTTTTATTTGTCATTGACCAAAAGCACGATGTAACTCATCATTTGTAGTAGCTATCTTAAGATTTCTATCGTTTTCTTCTTTATTTTAATAATAGATATAAAATAAATCTCCTTAAAATTTAACTCTTGAGAAAAGAAAGAAGTTACACGGTGTTATATCTGACAAGTATGGAAGAGTTATATAGTAGTATAATCTATTTCTCGGGCAAAAACTATCTCACAGCAATCTTAAAACAGCTAACGCGGATGATGATCTGCCTTACTTGATCAATGACAAATAAGAATGCAACATTATGTAGAACAGAAACATTGAAGGAAAAAGAGATTAAAGTATAACTAATATGAATAAACTTAATTTATAATATCAGTCTCGTTATAGAATAGAGCGGGGCAATTTCGTCAGTTTCAACTTTAAAGTAATCCGAAAATTTATGCTAGTAAACACTATCTCTTTGCAATGATATGCTTATAATTACATTATACAATTATTGCTTTTTGAGAGCAAAAATACAACCTTTAAATAATCAACATGTACTGTTCAGAAACATAAATTATCGCGAAAAATAGATGAAAAAGCCCTGTTTTATCCTACAGATACTTATACTAGTAAAATCTATTGTTTATTAAACATAAAAATAATAATTAAAAAAATTAATTTTAAAACTTGCAAGAAATGCTAATAAATATTATTAATTTAATATTAAAAATTAATATAGACACGCTGATAGAATTTGACATTCTATTTTCACATTCTATTTTTATAGTTAAAATTCATACTTGATGAGTCTTAAGTGATGCACTATGCTGTTGTTCAGAGCTAGGTTGAAATTTTTGCACAAAATCAATTTGACTAAACGGCGTCTAAAATTCTCTAATTGGCCGCATATGTGAAAGATCACGAGCCCAAGAAAAGCATCTACTGATGTATAAATTATACCTGCTAGAGAAATCGTTACGGCTTGAACAAAAAATGTCAACTCAAATTGCGGACTCTTATCTGTATCGTAGAAATAATACGTCTGGAGTGGTAGCGGTTTTTTCCGATCAGTAAGATTTGTTATGTGCCTTATTTGTATATCAAAGCAAGGAAAAATAATTAACATGATAAATGCAAATATCATTAAAACAAATCCAAAAATTATGAGTAATCGAGCCAATCGTGCTCGTTTTATCATCACATCTCTTTCTGTGTTTAATTTTAATGATATCCAATCTTCCGCCATCATATTGACAATGGATAAAAGAACTTGGAAATATACAATATAAAAAAGACAACATTAATAATATGCGCAGGAATATTAAATTATTTATAATTAATTATAACTTTTTAACTATCAAATTATTTAACCAAATACATTTGATTCAAAACTCGAGAAGTTAACAAATAAATACAGCTAATCTTCTGAAATAAAAAAGTATCAAGAACTTAATATTTTATTTCGGATAAGAAAAGAAAGAAAAAAGAAAAGAGAACCGACAGAAGAAGAAATAATCACATGTAATATCTTCTTTAACGTTATAATCTGTTATGCTTTATATATTATATATAAATTACAATAATAATTTAATATAAAAATAAAACAGATAAGATTCTATTAAATAATTTATATCAAATTATATTATGACACGTACCTTTTCGTTTCCATCGCATAATAATAAATTTAAATAAAACCACTATAAGAGGTAATGTAATTCGTAAATTATCTATCATAAGTACCATGTCGCCCCAAACTCGTATAAGCGCCCATACAAGCGGTACACCAGAAACGAATATTACAGTAATGAAAATGAAACCCATGCGAATGTTAGATCCCAATTTTTTCTTAGAAATTTCGTCGGTTGAAGGCCACAAACCGATCAATTTCAAGCCTAAACGATGTAATTCAACTGCCCATATAAAATCTAAATTTTTATACAAAATAAAAGATTTAGATAAAATAATTGTAAATTAATACATAAATTATTAAAAGATTAATTGTAACACAAGAGAGATAATAATAATGCGATGATAAGGATTTATACTATAAAATTATAATTGAGTATATAGAACATATAGAACACGCGTCATAAAAACGGAATATATAGCTACATATAATATGGAATCATACCTCTATAACCCGAACAGCTCGTAATGTTCATATTGAAGATTAATTTGAAGAAGATCGTCCTGGTCTTCCCACTATGCAATGTAAAACGATTATTGCGCATGCTTTCTATATAGGAGCAAGACACCGGCACCCTCGTTAAACGCTGTATTAAATATTAAAAATGCTATCCCCAATTGATTACAGTTGTTGGTAAGGCAAAAAACTTTATAAGTGTACAGTATGTCATAAAAATTGTTTACGTCAAAAGACAGAAAAAGTTTTGACAAAAGAAGAAAAATATTGTTTCGCATATTGCATTGTATAAGTTTGTTGGAGATGGTCGATTTTGCTTACAAATCGATTGCCTACAGTATCGTTTGCCTACACCACTTTTGTCGACAGTTCGTTTGCACACAAAAATTATTGCCTATAGCTTGATTGTCTACATGCACTTTTGCGCACAAAAAAAATTTAAAAAACGGTAACTTTTGCCTACATGTATTATTGTCTACATGTATTATTGCCTACAGGTATTATTGCTTACAGCTCGATTGTCTATATGCATTTTTGCGCACAAATAAAAATTTTAGAAACGGAGTTACTTTTGCCTACATGTACTTTTGCGCACTTATCTTATTATCTTATTTTCATTTTTACGTAAAAATGAATTCTTAGTGCAAAAATGAAAATAATAGATACAAAATAGCCTTGATCTTAACAAATGTTATCCAGACATGATCTTGAATAACATCAAGAGGTTTTAGCCGTCGGTCAGTTACCTTGGGTAATGCTAATGCCAGTGATACTGTAACTTTCAAGCATTATAAGTCAAAAAGTACTCAATAAAAAATAACTTTATTATAATGTTTTGGAAAGCTCTCGACATCCGCTATTAGATTCTGGAATCAAAAACAGCGTGCCATTTAAAAAAATCGATGTGACCTTGACCTAACCTTGGCGACGCCATCCAGTAAATAGATTTTTTGAACTCTACAACTTTTGTCTGAAACATTTTTCTATAAAACTTATATTTTCCAAGATATTCAGGTGTTCCGACATTTTTGGGACACCCTGTATAAGTATATATACATATATGTATATATATACAAATACATCTACATATATATATACATATATAGTAGACTGACAAGAAAAAAAAATTTGTTTTAACTGACCTCTCACACACAACACACACACACACACACACACACACACACACACAAGATTTCCAATTCATGCCAAAAGAACACCCTTAAATTTGTATTAAAAATATTAAGCTTTAGAGATGGTAAAAATATTTAGATTTATAATAGTAAACGATTTTTAAATTGAAGTTTCAATTTTTCTTAATACATGTTTGATTTGATGCAAAAATGGCTTAATTCGGATTTTAAATGTAGTACTGTATGTTTTTTTGATCGCTGAACACAACGCAATAATTCATTTAGATTTACGATGTACGCTTTGATAAATGCAGTTTAATTAATGAGAAAAAATTACCAAATTTTTAGTTCGAGATTGATTTTAGCAATGTTCTAAGGGTTTAAATGGGTTGTTACTCTCCTTAAATTGTAGGCCTGTTTACCCAAAACAAGATCCAGATTTTTTTTTATAAAGTCATATTGTTAAAAAACGAACAATTTTTTCTTGTAAATTCAATATAACTCAGAAACAGATTTGTTGTCTCCTGTCGCATTTATCAATGCATATATTTTTCGAGGCATACTTAATGATTAATTAATTGCTTGTTTCTTCTTGTCTTAAATTATGCCATTCCTTCTTATGGAATGTTGCTAATGAATTGATAAATGCAAGAAGAGACAATACACATTATATTAAAAACACACACACAGAATCCACCCCCCCTTTTACACACAAGCGCGAACACGTACGCACGCACACACACACACATGTAATCCGATTCCTGCCATGTCCACACACACACACACACACAAAATCAGATTTCTGTGTGTGACGTCCACACACACGAAATCATATTTCTATCACACACACACACACGTCCATACAGTTGATTCCGCGTAACGCCGAGAACAGAATAAGCGCGTATTATGCATATGTATGCACGTATTTACATCAGCTTTAAAAGTGTTTTAAGATTTACAATTCACATTTTAATTTGATAAAATTGTTTCTGTCTGGTTTAATAAAATAAGAGATAAAAAATGTTGTATCACATCATAAATTCTCCGATACTCACCTGGAAAGTTTATTCCATGTTTCATATTGTTTCATTATGGATGCGTTTATTGCAAAACGAGAAGTAACACTATTGCATTTTTAATGAGACTATCTATACTAGAAAAAATTATAGTAAAAAAGAAAGATGTAATATACGAAATTGTATAATACATGTATCTTTTTAATGCCTCTTTTAAATGTCTCTTTCAAAGACATATTAATTATTGCAGTAAACATGAGAGAAGATAATATTATGTCTAGTCTATAAGTAGATCATAACTCGTATTTTACAATTGTTTATGCATTTCCATTGATAAAATTTCAGTGTCTAAAAACTGCATTTTATAAGGTATGATAACTTCTAAAAATCTAGCAACATTCTTTCAATAAATTAAAAAATGTTCTGTAACGTTTCTGTACATCAAAGATAAGGGAACCAACGAATTCTTTTTTCAAAATTGAAGCAAGTCATGAAACTTACATAGTAAATATCGCGTTTTATTGCGTCACTCACAGTTTAAACGAGACTGATGAAATTGGTGTTTGCTGTTATATGCGCGTGTGTATATGTGTGTGAGTGTATGTGTATGTGTGTGAGTGTATGTGTGTGTATGATTTCCTATTGGTTTACCTCTTGCATTGTTGTCTTATTCTGGTTTTGTTACTAGTAGGCTTTGTAACAACAATGTTGCTGATGCCTAACCATTTGTAAGCTACTATTATATTTATGTTTAATTATAGTCTATTGTATCATATTTTATGTCTAGTACTCTGTTAACACGTAGTCTTTTTTATAAAGCTTTGCAATAAATTAAATTAAATTAAATTAAATATAGTAACGTAAGTTATACATTCATCTTGCCATGTTGATTTGATAAAATGCAATTACCATAATGCCAAAAATTTTTTAAATCTTAATTATTATTATTATTATTATTAGGCGTTATTATTATTTATATGTGATAATATTTTTTTTTTATTTTATTAAATAAAATGTAATTAAAAAACCAACATTAAGAGGATATTTTGTATTATTCTTTTGTATTACTGATTTCTCGTTTCTCAAACACTTTAATGCACAAAGGCCTAAATTCTAATAAACTATTTATATAAAATTACATAGAATGATTAAATTAAATTTCACATTGACATTCTGTGTTAGCTCTAATAGTCATTATTATTGTATTGATTTCCGTTAATTAAGTCTTAAAAAAAACATCTATTTTAGTTATATTATAAATGAATATATTTGATTCATTACAAAGTGTTTCATGATATAATTTATAATAAACAACAATCCTATGCACACATTAGACAAAACATAATCTTATTTTTATTACAGTAACAATAGAAGATACTTTCTAGATAAGAAATTGATCCACTTGTAAGTATAAAACTACGAATGTATATTTGTATGTTTAAGTAATTATTGAATATTGATATATTATCTTTAGTCATGTTTTGTTAATAAAAATGATGCATAGTTTATCGATGATTTTAATATCTGAAAATAATATTTATTTTAATTTAATTTGAGAAATACGTTGCCAATATCGATTCTTATCT